CCATGCCTGTGGGCTGGTCTTTTCTTTTCTTTAGGAGACATGTGCTGCTCACATGAAGGCACAGATTCCCCAACATAAAGGTCAGAGCCTGAGAGAGAAGGTTGGATAGCTAATTAGAGAAAATATTTCCTGACAGAGGTAGGACCCATGGTTACTACCACGGGTTGAAGCTGATAGAGAGATACTCTTTGAATTATTAGAAAAACAATGATGACATGCAGACCGCTGATCAGTCTTCAGTTGACACTGGAAAGAAATCTTGTGTGGAAGGTAAGTAACATCAATAGCTAAGGAGTTACACGAGGAGAAAAGACCAGGAAACACTGTGTTTTCTTTTACTCCTTCTTCCCTTGCTTTCTTTTCTTTCCCATTTCTCTCTTTCTAAACAAGAGAAGGCCATCTTTGGATTACTAGTGAATTATCATTGAATATTGCTGATGCATAAGTAGATCTCAGGCAAATATGGGATATCTCTATTCAAAGAGCCAACTGTAAACTTCTAGACTGGTGTTCTGCTCTCCCTGCCCGCCCCCCCCCCCCCCATTTTAGAATTAGGGAAAACAAAACAAACATAGCCAGATAAGCTGAGTGCCAGAAACAGCAAATACTGCTTTTGCTCCCTGTATTTCCTTTTTCTTTTTTAGGCAATGGAATTGTAAGCTCTGTAAGGTCAGGGGCCCTGATAGATTTACCCAGTACTGTATTCCCAGCATTTAACACTGTGCCTAAATATTTGTTGAATGATCCAATTAATGGGATATCCATTAATATCCTATCCACAAGATGTGGATAAAGAAATGGTACATCAGAGCCATAAATAACATAAAGATTGCCTTACAGCTCTCTCTCTCCCTTGATTTAACCTGCCAAAGTTCTATTAGAGGAGAATATTCTAAAATGTGTTCTACAGAACATTAGCTCTGAAGAATAAAAATCAATTTTTTTTTTTTTTTCAAAAAAAGGTGGGGAGAGTCTATGGAAAATTAGTTTGGGATACTCTGTATCATACAAAGTTCAAAGAGATCTTTACAGTATGATCTCTCAGAGTTTTTCAAATACAAATTTTCCCTGTGAATTTCCCAGGGAGGGACATAGCTTGCTACATTTCCAAAAATTATTTGACGATGTTCCTCTTTTACCTGGCACAGGTTATAGTAACAGTATTCCATAAAACATGTCTTGAGGAAAGTAGCATCTTAATTCAGCTTTACATTCTTTAAATTATTTCTTTTGGATTTAAGTCCTAAGTAATTTTTTCCACTGAGAAAGATACCACCGGGTATAACAATGTAATGTGCAGGTAGTTAACACTACTGAACTTGACATAAAAAATAGTTACAAAGGTAAGTTGTATGTCATGTAATTTTTTAACCACAACTAAAAATTAAGAAAAAATACTCCCTAAATATTATTTTACCTAAGTAATAAGTAAATCAATATTTTACCTAAAGGCTGTAATGATGCACCCAAATTTAACAGTATTAAATGGCTTGGTTTTGGTCTACAACATGCTGCTCAATTGCATTTACCACCTAGATACTGTATCTTCCACAGCATCTTGATTTTGAACATGGAGCTATGGATTTCTTAGTGTGTGTTTTTAGTAATCCAGCCCAGGATGACTACCTAAAAAGACCTGTGACTGTATGTATAGGGAAAGTTTATTATAGTTTAGTAGAGTGAACTTGGGACTATGAGACAAGAGACTAGGTTACAAAACTGACATTGTCACTGACTTAGCGGGCCACCCTAAGTGAACGCTGCTTTCCTTATCTATAAGATGGCCTCAGTCAGCAATTTTTTACTTTTTTGCCTCCAACATGAGATTCCCTTCTTCCGTGGAACTTTAATAGTCACAGCGGGTAAAAGCAGAGATGCTCTGGTCTCGAGGAGGTGGAGGCCACTGAGCCTCCCTTCCCCCATGGCCCTGAGTATCCCCAAAGAGGCTAAGAGCTCAAGGTAACACAGTCTGAAAACCACGAAGCTAGCTAATCTTTAGGATTCTTTCGAAGTCTTACTTCTGCCACCAGGAGATAAACTGCAGTAGAAAAGAATGTTTGTGTGTCCATATTAAAGCCTCTAATTTTATACCGACCCACAGAGAATTCAGCTCTTCTAGAATATAGAACCCTGCCATACCATAATGTGGCAAGCACCTTTTGAATGTCAACATTTATTTTATATTAAAAAATAAAATAGAAAAAATATTATCAGAATATACTCCTCCCTTATTCCCTTTATGGATACATTTCAAGATATAGACTTGATGGTAAATTAAAATTGAATGCAAATATTGTCGCTGAAAAGTTGCCCATTTATATGGTTTTCTCAGCCCCTCTTAGTTTTTAATGGGCAAGGTTTTGCTAAAAACAAAAAGTGTTAATTACATAAATATGCGTATTCTTTTCAAAGCATTACACTATATTATGGTTAAAAAACAATAGAGAAATGAATGCAAAACTATTTCAACAAAAACACTGCTTCTTGAGCAGCCTTTAAAATTATGACATGTTTACTGGGAAAATGCATTACTCATGACAGGGTTACAAAAGCAATATTAACCTTCTTGAAATTTAATAGCAAAGTCAGACATGTAAAAATCAGTACCAGACGTGGTAATATAACTACTTTTGTTAAGATTGTACATTGGATAAAACAGATATTTAAAGCTATATTAAGATGTGGGTAAATAAAGAGTCCGTTAGAAGATTCCCAACACACAAGCATCACAACTAAAATCATCATGCAGATTGTTCTAAAGATAGCATCCATGGAAATAAAAAACCGCGTGCTTTCTTTTGCTCCTGTTATTTTGGGCACTATTGCTTTTGCAATTTTGTACAGGGTGTCAGAAATTAAATTTGCCCTTAAAGATACATATGTCTATCTTTTGGGGCAGGCATTTGCTACATTGACAAGCTACCAAACGCATTCATTGTATCTAATGTGTGACTAATGAGTGATTGTAATCTGTAATCAAAGAGGATGTTTGCTTCTGCAAAAAAATATAATTTACCCCAAAATAGCATTGATAATAAGCCAAGAACTGCAAAGTAGTGGTTAAAAATGTGTGATAAAATATAGACTATAAAATTGCACTTATCATCAAATGCAAGTTTGATTTACAAAATAATTTTTTCCAAAATTTATCTTGTTGCTATAGTTTTATCACATAATCCATTACTTGCCTTGTCATGTTTAAAAGAGACTCACGTTTTAAATTATTTTATTGTTTTTGTTTAAAAGGGGTTCGCACTTTAAATTATTGTTTTTGTAACCCTAAGATATTTCATTAAAATCTCTCAAGGAGGTTTTACTTATTTTAGAGAACGCAAGCTTGAGACATATTAAAAAAACAAAGGTCAAAAGTCATAAAGGATAATAGCTGATGGTTTTGATAATGCTAATTATATATTACTGAGAAGAAAGGTAGAGAAGGAAATATGAATACTAAAGAAAGATAAACATTCCAATGCTGGATTTAAAAAAAAAAAAAACAATGAAAAAAACTCTTAAAATGTCTTTGTACTTCACTGTCATAATTCAAAGACATAATGAAGCCTGAATTAAAAATGTCAGTTTCTGTGAATGTTGGTAACTTGGTTCTTTGTTGGGCAAGTCAAAATGTGTCTGTTTGATAGGCAAAAATGACAGACTAAAAATGGGAGAAGTTGGATCTAAAAAAAGCAGCACACACATGCACACATGCATGCACGCACACACACACACATACACACACAGGACTTTAAAAAAGGTCCATAATGTACTTGAAGGAGAAGACCTGTAGGGTAGGAGGCAATATCTTTAGGAAGTCACCGAGCAGCACTAAAAGGCAGTGTCCATGGCCAATCAAAACGATTTCTGTGACTGCTGGGGCTCTTGCATCTCCGTCTTTACACTAGACTGGAAACCCTTTGTACTAATTACCAGACTGTACCAGATTTTCTGGTTCAGTTCAATCCTATAATTGACTGACAGTGATGGGCAAGGAAGGGGAAAAATTCAAGCTCACCACTGCAAGCAGAGGCTCAGAAATGGTTTCACAGAGAGCCGGTCACAGCCTGGCACTAAAAGCAGGGTTAAGCAAGCATCATCAGCATTTTCTTCTAATTCTCAGGTTAAAAAGGAAGTGAGGAAGAAAAAACAGCAGTCCATGACTGCTCTCATCTCACGGACCAATTCTTAGCGTGCGACCATTTTACATAAAATGAATGGAGAATAGCTTCAAGTATAAATGGCAATGTTAGATGTCACTGATTTTTATTTTGCTTTGGGGAAGTAGGTATATATAGGTTTGTCTCCAGAACTCAAATCGGGTCATCTTGCTCAAGTTCAACAGTCTTGTTTTTTTTTTTTTTTTTTTAACAGAAACTGGGAAAAACAATGCTGCTATTTCATTCCTAGGGCTGAAAAATCATTAAAGTGCAAGGCAAATTTAGAAAGCTTATGGCCAGTTGCATAATCAAAATGAAGCATTTGAAGCCCTTAGCATCATAATCCTCACATCCTTCGCTTGTTTTAACTCACTGATTTGGATTTACTGTGTGTCCCTCGTACTAAAATGGTTGTCCATGAACCCATACTTCTTAAAGTGAAAGTTTGAATAATAATTTACTTGAACTTAGAGTTACTGCATTAAAAAAAACAGAACACACTGAGCACCGGATTAAAGACTTAGTCGGCTGCCCATCCTTTGTTATTTACTTAGAACTGTTCTCCACCCACTTTCTTTCTAACCAAAAGAGCAACTCTAGCTTCAGCTACACCAAACATTAAAAACACAGGTGCCAGAAACAGGGTCAAATGGGAACTCAGGCCATTCGGGAGGCAAGTGAGCATTATGTACTATCATGTTGAGGTCAATTGACTTGAAATGTAATCACAGGTTAAGCCCCTTTTCTTTCCAGGCTAAAGAGTAAGCAACACCTGTGCCCGCAGCCGCTCACACTGCACTTGACATAGCAGCCAGTTCAATTTTTAGTTACAAGTCAATTACTTACTGGAACAGAAAGGGAACATTTCATTCATTCCATGGATGGCCACTTTTCCGGAGAAACCTGTCAGGCTTTCTTTCTCCAAAAAAAAAAAAAAGGAAAGAGAAGAAAAAGTAAAAGTTAAAAATAAGTGATATGATGCAAAGTTCTAGAGCTAGGCCAGCACACTACAGCAGAGAAGTGGTGCAAAGAGCTTACCTTCCAAACACTGAACAGAGCTGTCTTGGAAATGAGGCCTATCCCAGCTGATAAGTCCTGGGATTTTCCTCATCAGAGAATCAAAACAGGTGAAATGATAATAGGTGCTCTACACCTGAGGAGAGGACCAGCTGACTGCATGAAAGGAGAGCGCAAATGAGTAAACTGTCTTCCCCCAGCTACAGTCAGCCCTTGTGCAAGGGGAGTTTCAAACGCACTGGCTATAGACTTTTGTCCAAAGCTGTGGTTCTTTTTTTTTTCTTTTTTTTTCTTCTTTCTTTCTTTTCTTTTCTTTTCTTTTTTTTTTCTTAGTAAAGCTAGATTAGTTCATACAAAACTCAACAATACAGCACTGAAACCCATTGTTGATATTCAACATTTTTCACATAGCGGAACAGAATAGACAATACGGTATCTAGGAAACCATGGGCTGGATTACAAACTGATGATATCTCATCCTTCTGGGGGCCTGTAATCCTTTTTATTACCTACCACAGTAAAAAAAAAAAAAAAAATCATCACTGTGTGTGGGGGGAACTCTCTCAGAATAAATCAATAACATTGCTACTCTTAGGAAAATAGGATAAATTAAAATGAAATCTTGCTTATAACACTAAATCTCAAAGTGCCATTTGCGCATTTGCCTTTTATGCAAGTTAATGATTTTAAAACTTATGCTAACGTTTATGTGAGCTGCCAGACGTTTTAAAAATTAAATTATGTGTAGATGTTTGCTTAATCGTATTCAAAATTAATCTGGACTTTCAATTTCTTATGAGAAATACTTGGAAAGTTATTTATTTTAAAGTGCCCAATATTGAGACTAAGGCATGAATACTAAGTAATTTTCATTAATTTGCTCTAAAATACATGTCTTGGGTTACTGTAAGTTATATTTATTTCCTCCATTAAGAACACACTGAAATTCAAGATTTTCTGAGCTTACTTACCTGATACCCAGCTTAATAAAACAAATTTTTCACTTTTTTAAACCCCATGCCTTTTTCATTTTTCATTTTTTAAAAAATGCATTTCCTGATTATGTATAACCGCAAAGCCATTCTTTACAAGGAAGTTATGCCTATTAACCTTTTTGAAAATCTGGTCCAATCCCTTTTATAACGCAATCCAGTTCCCATAGTTTTCTTAAGCCTACAAATGGTCTAGGTAGCCACAGAAGTGATTGTTCCTACCAGTTTCTTTTCATCACTTCTGCAATTGACCAATTGACAACTGATTGATGGTTATCTTTTCACTTCAACAATGAAAGAAATTACCATCACTATAGCTATGTACAGTAAATGCCTCCAGAGTAAATTACATGATTCTAAAATTCTCCTTAGCTCACTTAGTAAAACATCAACACAAAAAAGTTTCTTTTTGCGCCTCCTTTCCTGTACCACAGATTTGGCCTTTTCTGTCAGCTGCAGAAAAAGAACTTGACAGCTTCTTTAAAAAGAGGAGTATAAAGGAACTTGAATAAAGGATGGCACTGGGCCTGTCTCAAGCAAGTGGCCATTCTTTGCCCTTGGAAAAAAATTAGGCATGTGAGCACAGATAAGTCCTATAAGAATACTCTAAAGACTATTCCCAGTGACCTTGAGAGTCTATTTCCTTCCTTAACCATTCCTGAACGTTAGGGCAACGACATAGATTCTGAACACGGATTTGCCAACTTATTTTGAGTAGGTGTTGTTTCTCGTTGAAAAGAAAACATCCTTAAATTTTTAAACTCCCTTACTGCACTGCAAAGACTCCCCTGCTCTCTCCAAAAGTGCTCAAACAAGTGCCATTATGCACATGTGACCTCCAGCCATTATGATATGTTGATGGACAAGAGCTTTAAATTCTACCCTCAAACCTAAACTTACTGCAAATGTGTATTTTATTTTCACAGGAAAGCCCTGAATCTTGTCAAGGAAGGGGAATTCAAACATTTTTTTCTTTCTCTGTTCAATTAAAGTCTTTTTATTTTTTATTTTTTGGTGAAGTAAATATGCTGCTATGAAAGATTCAACTGATTTACTCTTGCCCTCCCCACCCACCCACCTTAAGGTCACCTTTTTAAAGTGAAAAACACACACAAATGGACAAGAAACATGATTTTGGACTATTTTCCTTGATGTTTTAGGTCCATAAAATGTGTTACTGAATATCACAAGGTAAACTGATCCATAGTTTTATTATCTAGAATGACGTGGCACTGTTTGGAACTTTTCCCACTCTATCAATATTAGGAAGTTACATTGCAATAAAGGAAAGTGGATTCCATTCTTATTCACTGCTGACTCCATTTAGGACTTGGGCTGGTTTCCTGATAATTCTGGCCTCAGTTATTTCACCAGACAATAAGATTTTTATGAAATGCTGCCTTTATGTCCTTCACAGTGGTAGGCTCTATAATGTATGAGAAATATGAGATGAGATTCTGTCCAGCAGAAATGGATAATTTATTTGGTAAAATAATACATACAGTGGGAAATAGCTTTCAAATGGAATATAACATACATATTATATATGTGTGTATTATAGCATTATATTATTATCACATCATATTTGGCATATATGGCACTAAATAAACTTTGTTCACTTAAAAAACAATTCATCATCTTCCATGTTACCTTTGCTATATTTGCCAATATTATTATTCAAATATCCCTGATGATATTTATAAAATGTCATTTTTATATCTTCACAGTTGTTCTCCAAAGATGTTCCAGGCTAGACTTATGGCATTAATGCCTAGACACTTGAATTAATGAAATTGCTTTGAAGATGATCTAATCTGCTATCTTTACCCACAGCATCACTGCTGGAATAACCTTTCTCCAACTTCCCTTTTACCATGTTCCACGTAGTACCTGGTTTTGGAACCTATATGCCTTTATTGCATGAAGTCCTTGGAACTTCCAAGTCTAGGGAATGTCCTTGCTTAGTTCCCGCACCTTTGCAAAATCTAGTTCCAAGGCAGCACCTCTCCAAACTTATTTCCCTTATTTCTCATCAGCTAACTTACCTTTTATTAATAGTGTATCTTATTATTACATACACGCCTAGATACATACCAAGCTGTTCCATATTTTATCCTCATCTTCTGTGTTCAAGGTCCAAATAAAACCTAGGCCATGTAGGAATCTTTCCCCGCAGTAGTAGCTCATATCTATTTCCCTATTCCCTCATGTCTTTTTCATTTATTATTGTCTTTGACGCACATTTGGCTCAGTTTGAATGTCACCCCCTTTACTAAGATTTTCTTATCAATTCAGATGAAATGAATTTCTTCTCCCACTATACTCCACAATTCTTGGCACACATCTTTATTATAATATGCATTATCTTAGATTGTATTTGCATATCATTTTCCCCAGGTAGAACTTAAGACCCATGAGGAAAGGAACCGTATTGTATGTATATTTTTATGCCTAGCACTTGGCATACAAATGTTCAATAAATGATTACCAATAAAGACAGTCCTTGCTCCTAAGGAGCTCTCAGTTCAGGGTGAAGTTTAGATTAGCTGTGAGAATAAGATGGTAGGTGAATAGCTAAGTAAATAAGAATGGCAGTTGAAAAGATCAGCAGTTCCTTTAAAAAGTAAATTGAATTTTTAAAGTAAGTATTTATTGATTTATTATTAAAGGTTTTATTTATTTATTTGAGAGACAGCACGAGGGAGAGGAAGAAGCAGACTCCGCACTGAGCAGGGAGCCTGACAGGGGCTCTGTCCCAGGACCCTGAGATCATGACCTGAGCCAACTCAGCCACCCAGGTGCCCCTAAAGTAAGTATTTAAATGTTGGTGTAAGAAAGACCATATCAAAGCCACTTGTTTGGAACGTGAAAATTTCTCAAGGAACATAGGTGCATGTTTAGACCAATCCACTAGTTGTTCCTATTTGTTCCATAAGCTGGCCAAGTTGTGGTAACACAGCCATTTATTGAACATTTGCTGGTTGAAGCAATATAGTAAGTACTTTACGTAAATTTAGTTCTCAAGATTACCTTATGAAGTAAGTACTTCTGCCATTTTACAGATAAAAAACTTGGGTTTGGAGAGGTTGCCTGAATCTCCCGAGGCTGCCTGGTCAGGAACAGCAGAGCTGCGACTGAAACCCAGCCCTGCCTGGCTCTATAGTTTACATTGTTCAGAACTAACTGATGGTGCAAATGGTATTTTTCCTCAGTTAATCACCCTGAGGAGTCTATATTATATGATAAATAGGGGGGAAGAAAAGAAAAAACGAAGAGAGTTTTCTACCTATTTCTTTATCACACAACCAGTCTGGAATATCATTGTTAAAAATTATTCTTTGTGTATTCTGACTTCTCTTTCTTCATACACCCTCTACTGACCCAGATGCCTTCCTCAATCTTTTCAGGTACCCAGTGCCCTTTTTTTTTTTTTTTAAACAGAGAGAGAGAAAGCGCCTATGCACATGAGGAGGGCAGGGGCCGAGGGAGAGAGAGAGAGAGAATCTCAAGAATCTTACTGAGCGCAGAGCCCGAGGAGGGGCTCAGTCCCCTGACTTGGAGATCATGACCCCAACCGAAATCAAGAGTAACACCCAAACGACTGAGCCACCCAGGTGCCCCCACCCCGCTGTGTCCTAATTTTCAAAAATTTCTCTATAGACCCTTTACTTAGACATTCAAAGTTCTTTATACTCCTCTCCCAGCCTATTCAAAATAGCTATTACTTTAGGACATGTGGGAGTATAAAATCAACCTAGTTGAAGCGATTCTTGTTAAGATGTGAATAATGGATAGATGTTAGATTCTTCTTTCACATAAGCACTTTGAAAAAACTGCTCATTAACCTAAGTGAATAGGTAAGGATTACTATTTCAGGCCTTGAAGCTACAAAAGTGAAGCAGACACTTTCCATGGAAACCTCAATGTATAAACAGAGAGATTTTGAAACATGTGATGGTGGTATACGTGTGATGTAGGAGACTGAGTAGACAGGCTAGCCCTGTCTGAGAATCAATTTCTTTAGTGATTTTTAATTTGGGAGAGACAGTCATGGGCCCTCATATCCTGCCCAGTTACAGACAGCCTTATTGCATACTACTTTGTGGAATATATACTTTGGAGGGAACCATTGGGTTGGAAGTTAAAAAACCCTACTCAAAGCTG